AGTTTTTCATATAATATATACAATTTGCATATTTATAGGACCATAGAATGCTTTGCATCTTTTGATGAGAGAAAATTTATTTATTCAAGATATCCCGGGTTTTCTATTGTTGTTGTTAACCATAGTGTTATTTACTGTTTACCTGCAGACATTTTTAAGAAGATAATAAATTTAGTTACTTCTAGCCTAAATTAATATTCATCATTCTAAGCACTATCAAGTTTTCCCCTGCATGTTGCTTTCGAATTGATGAAATATCAACACACAGTACTTTAAAATTTAATGTACTAATTTAACAACTCAGAGTTTTGGCCTCTGTTACCTAACATTACTAAAATTATTCTAAGTTATAAAGCCTTAGAGTGGATGTAAAAGATGGTACTTGAAAGAGATATATTGAATGTAGTTTTAGAGATATTGAAAAATAGGCTTATAACTTGCAGGACACACGTACTTTCTGCCATTGAAGAAAGAAATATCAGCTTTAGGCAAGTGAATAAAGAGGCAGACATTTAGCTATTAGTATTATTGGGAATAAATCCTTTGTGGAAAACCCAACTATACTTTAATGTCATTTTGCACTTAAGAAAGGAGCAACCTAGAAAACTATTCTATAAAACTTTTACGCTGTTCTTTGAAGTCATTATACTAGGTTTTGTTCCCAAAAACAATAATAGGGATTTTGGCACAACATTAAACATGTTCTTGTACTGTTTATAAAACCAAGGCATACTCACATTTGGAGCATGGTAAGATGTGGTGGCTATAAGTCAGAAAAGAAAAGATGGAGGGAGATACTATATAAAGTCAGGACAGAAAAGATGGAGGGGGATACCATATAAACCTGGGAAAGAAAATTGGGTGAATATTTCTCTAATCTTTTGTTTCCCTGCATGTCTTTTTAAATCCTTTGAAGGCAAGGGCAGTATCTTTTTCTTTGTGATATTCCATTAGTCCCACCCAAAGCTGGGATGACTATAAACCTAAACTGTTACATTTTTTAGAGTTAAAAGGGGCACTGAGTATGCTAGTCTATGCGTGGCAATTGAGACTTTCCCAGGTAAACGAGGATGTACGGTCACACTACATTCAGCAAGTCTATGAGGAAAAGGAGGAAAGAGGACAGATGTCAAAGTCCAAAGTCTAGTGGTCAAATGTGAAATTAAAACTTCTTTCTCATCAAACAATAACAAAGAGGGGAAATATGCAACTTTATTATAAAGGTTATGTATTTGGAAAAGCAGTGAAGTATATATTTTTAATGTTTAATGCACATCTTTGTCATGAATGACTTAATGATCTGATATTGGGGATATTAGGAAATAGTAGTGAATACATTGAGTGTTCAGCCTTGACATTTTCAAGAATGTCTTGCATCATGTGTCTTATCACCTCTTTGAAGCAAGACATTTTTCTGAATATAACAAGCCATGCTATAAATGATCTAAAGCCTGCCCCAAGCAACCAAAATTTATAACTGACGTTTACATGCAACTTATTTTTATATATTAAATAATATATTACATATAATAATATAAAATAAATATATACATGTACTTGTTTGTATATATTATTTATATCACAAGTATATTATAGACACATATATAAATGCAACCATCAACGTTTGGCAGAACATAAGTACAATGTTTTCATGGTAAATTAGGTTTCTTCATTAAATCTTCAATTAGCCATGTAATGCCACATAGTACTTACCTTTATCAAGCTCAAAAAAGAATGGTATTTAGTAAATTAGATTAGTTATGGAAAATTGCCTCATCTGTGCTTTTTAAAAGATTACTAATTATATGGTTTCATCAACATGCAGTTGAGTTCTTATGATTGTTGATGTTGCATATCTCTGGGTTTTGTATAAATTAAGACTAAAAATATACCATCACTAATTTGAAGGAGAAAAAAAGTAGTTAAAGAACATTTAAATCCCAAAGTTTCCTGGGACCTTGGTAGCTGTCCTGGGTCTTTAGTCTGGAACTCTTGAGCCTGATTCAATTGTACTATTTTTTTCTCCTAAAGGAAAAGATGAGACAATGGATAGAGAAAAGAATTTTGTTGCAGTAAAATAAACATTCAATCATGAAAAAGTATTAATCCAAAGTATTAACTCATTTTTTATTTAGTACCCATGGGTAAAACTTCACATTAGATATAGAATTTAGCTTTATTGTGGTGTTGAATACAGTACTTACTCATCTTTTCTCTTTGGTTTTGGAGCTTCTCTTTGTAAAACATGTGACAGTGCTTGTCTATCTGTCTACATATATCTATATCTATATATCTATATCTATATATGGATATATAAAAAGAGATAATATGCAAATTATCCAGGATGCTGTAATAGTCGCGACTGGCTCAGGAGGAGGCCTCTCATGCAGATGGGTGGGAGGGGACTGCATGCAGCCCTCACAGAGCAGAGACACAACACAGGGGGAGCCCACCCCCGCTGGGAGACAGCACACCAGCAGTCCTGCCTCTGCACTTGAGTTGCAAAGGAAACACCTTTTTTTACTGCTCATTGGCTAAGCTCCTTATATGCCATTGGCAGTGTTCTTAGAAACTTGGGTAATAAGAATCCAAGAAGGTAATCTAGCATTTTTCTACATCACTTCTGGAGGAAAAAACAAAGGTCCACTGCTGGAGAGGCTAAGAAATGCCATTTCCTGCCCTAGTTGGTTTGGCTCAGTGGATAGAACCTAGGCCTGCGGACCACAGGGTTCGGGTTCAGTTCTGATCAAGGGCATGTGCCTGGGTTGCAGGCTCCTCCCTGGCCGGGGCTCAGGTCAGGGATCATGCAGGAGGCAACCAATCAAAGTATCCCTCTCACATTGATGTTTCTCTCTGTCTTCCCCTCTCTCTTCCACGCTCTCTAAAAATCAATGTAAAAATAGCCTCAGGTGAGGATAAAAAAAAAGAAAGAAATGTCATATCCTATGAAAGAGACATCTTGAAAATGCCTAAAGAAAGTTGTCATTTTTTTCGTGGTGAAGGGACTGGAATCTGTGTTGATGAAAACACCTTGGCAGCTGCAGTGGCTGGCAGTGGCAGCAGCAGAAGGGTGATGGGGGTGGCATCTTCTCCTGATCAGCTGGTCGCTTCCCGCAGAGGGAGGCCAGACTGCAGCTTAGGCCATCAGTAGGACATCCCCCTCAGGACTCCCGGACTGTGAGAGAGGGCAGGCTGGGCTAAGGGGACCCCCTCCCCCAGCAGGTTGGGCTGAGGAACCCCGCCCCCCTCCCCCCAGTGCATGAATTTTGTGCCCCAGGCCTCTAGTAAGAAAATAATCCTACATAATAAAGAGCTAATATGCAAATGGTTATCACTCCATCACACCTTAGCATCTTAGACATTCAATACTGGGTAAAGAGGAATAGGGACCAGCTAGATACAAATGAGCTCGCAAGAGAGGAGTGGAGACCAGCTAGGCTGTGGCTCTGGAGAGAGACAAGCTGCCCACCCCACAGTCCTGGGCACCAGCGGCTGGGGCTGCGGCCCGGGAGAGAGACAAGCCACACACTTCGTGGTCCCTGTAGTCCCGGGCGACAACAGCTGCACCTGCAACTGTGGCCCAGAAGAGGGACAAGCTGCCCAGGTCCTGGGCACCAGCGCCTGCGACTGTGGCCTGGAGAAGCTGCCCGCCTACAGTCCCCTGTGTTTGCAGCTGGCCCAGGTGAAGCCGACCTGGGTCCTGGGTTCCTGCAGCTGGCCAGAGGGAAGGAAGCCCGGGTCCCAGGTGCCTGCAATGGTTGAAGGCGGGAATTCTGAGTCCCAGGTGTGGGGCAAGACAGAGGCAGTTAGGGGTGATCAGGCCATCAGTGGAGTAGTTAGGGGTGATCATGTAGGAAGAGGTAGTTAGGGACCATCAGGCAGGTAGGCAGGTGAGCAGTTAGGAGCCAGTGGTCCTAAATTGCGAGAGGCAGTCAGATATCCCCAGAGGGGTCCCAGATTGGAGAGGGTGCAGACCTGGCTGAGTGACTCCCCTTCCCATGCACGAATTTCATACACCAAGCCTCTAGTTATAAAAATAATTAGAAGCAAAATTTTAATTGTGGAAATAGAGGAAGGCTACTTGTACTAACAGATTGTCAACAATTTACACTAGTTCTTGAAACTTAAAAGTAAAGAACTTTAAAAACTAAAAGAGAATAGTAGATATTATATTAAGAGGTTATTTTCACCAAATAATTGGTTTGAAAACAGATTTATAACTTTATTGAAAGAAGGAGTTGAGGTTATTAATTAAGAAGAATCTTTCATTGGATTACTGTCATTTTTGAAATACATTTTACTTCTGTTTTGTTTTTAATATGTACAAAATGATTCTTACTTCCCCTTGAGTAGATTGTTACAAGTATATTGTTTAGATTAGTACATAGTGAGTAAATTGGAATGATAGTAAATTGTTGAAAAAATGTAAAAAAGTAAGAAAATATTGCTTACAGTGTAACTGAACCCTATGACTTAGTATAGGATTAGAATTAACACTTGTCTACTGTATTCCTATTTTCTTATTAACATGATGTTAATTCTTATTTCTAAATATGCCAAATGTAGAATCTCAGGTGGACATAAATTAGAACTGGAACAAATGCCTATATCTGAATATATAAGCAATTTTGAGGCATAATTATTCTATTTGGGACTGCTTATTTTTCTGTTACACTTTCCAAACATAAAAGAAATTCAATTTAACATTACTAAGTTAAATGTATTTGTAGATATTAATAGGAAGACATCATTCATCAAGTGAATAATTTGTGATCTCTGCAGGTGAGCTATATCATAGTTTGTTGATACATTTGTTTGGTGATTAGCAGTAACTGATTAAAGTGGTAACAAAACAAAATTATCTATTAAAGTATGTTTTATTCATGGAGAAATTTATGTTCGTTCAAAATATAAATAAACTGTAATGTATATAAATTTGATGCTTTATTTGAGGTACTGGGTGAAAATGACGATTGCCTTAAATATGATTGTCATTTCAGAGTATTTGACGGTGTTCTCTCAGATGATTGCATTCCATGATCCAGAGCTGAGTAATCATCTCAATGAGATTGGATTTATTCCAGATGTAAGTACCTGGTGCATTATTAACATCAAGTCAAGATAAAGCAGAAATCGGAAGCATGAAAGAGTAATTGGCAGCATGAAAGAGTGCTGTTTTTAAAGTTTTTGTTGTCATTAGAAGTCCAATCTGAACAAGTTCCTGCTACTAATTACAGTCTTTTGTTATAAAGTCTGTGTGGTTACCTTCCAGGAACTTGAGATCTCTATCTCAAAAGGAATTTTTGAGGTTTTCAAAAACCTATGATACTGTAGTCTAACTTCCACTTAAAAGAGGCTTGACTCCCTGTCACATACTACATGTGAGTAATGGCTAAGCCATACCATTGCTACCCTTTGCAAGTCAACTCTGACTTTCAGCTTAATATGAACTATAGAGAAGTTAATGAACTAAGCCAAAATCTGGCAAAGCTCCCAAGGTAACATATCAAGCAAAACACAGAAGCTACTTAAGAATCCACTAAGTTCAGATTTCCTACTTCTACAAAACTGGGCCCAAGTCTCATAAAATCCAAGAGAAAACCCTTCAAAGCACAGTTTAACATAACACTAATACGTTTTTCAAACTATTTGATTTTATCCTATTTAAAAGCTAATAAATGAGCCTGTTACTGTTTAATGGAGGTTGGTGACAAACACAAGACTTCTGTGTCAGAGACAAAGGATTTGCACTGACAGCAGAGCAAGTGGCCTGAACATTCACATATTTCTGTTGGTTCCTCGACCAGCAGTCGGCAAACTGTGACTCTGTTGACTAATAAGTTTGCCGACCATTGCCCTAGCCCACAAATCCCATTGAGACAAAGTAAAGGGTCTAGGTCAGTGGTCAGCAAACTCATTAATCAACAGAGCCAAATATCAACAGTACAATGATTGAAATTTCTTTTGAGAGCCAAATTTTTTAAACTTAAACTTCTTCTAACGCTACTTCTTCAAAATAGACTTGCCGTGGTATTTTGTGGAAGAGCCACACTGAAGGGCCAAAGAGCCACATGTAGCTTGTGAGCTGCAGTTTGCCGACCACGGGTCTAGGTGATACTTGCATATGCAGTGAATTACATTATAGGAGAGAAACTCTGAGTTTAGGGAATTTGAAATCTTAAAATGCCTTTTCTTTCCTCTGGAGAGAGAAAAACACTTTCTTTTTCTTCCAAGGGTATAAGCAAACTTGTCTTTTGCCGCAAAGGGAGATTCTGTTTCAGTTTTCCCAGGCTGTTCTTGTGTACTCATATTTAAAAAGATAATCAAGAATAAAGGACAGTCAGGGTCTCTGTTCACAAGGAATGCAGAAGTACAAGAATGCATATTAAAATGTTAATTGTATTCACTAGAAGAATAGAAAGAGAAGGTATAACATTTTTTATTGTTGATGCTATTACAGATGTCCCCCATTTCCCCTGCCTTGGCTTCCTTCATGGAGTGACCCCTCCTCCTTCCTCCCCCCCTCCCCCACCTACTGGCAGCCTGTTGTCTGTGTCCATGGCCTATGTATATATGTTCTGTGGCTAATCTTTTCCATTCCTCCCACCTTTTGCCCCTCTGAAAGCACATAACTTTTAAACCACTCGAAGGGGTATGAAACAAAGAAAAGTGAACCAATCCTATAAAAAACTGAAAAAATATAGAAAGTATGTAAGGAATATTAGACTGCCTAATAAAAGACATTTTCAGATAGTTTATAAATCCATATACTAGATGTATCAGTTAATAATGCGGATTTTTTTCAATAGATGAGGTTACACATATGTTGATATATATGCAATTTTATATATATGCTATTTTATTATATTGACAGCAGGCTTCAAAACATCATATGTCAAATTTGCTAAAGGTATTAACATCATAGATATTTTTAAGCTTAAAAATGTCTAATTTTGTGTAAAAAAAGAGCATTTGCGAGAAGTTTTATTTCATTACTTTGAAGAAAAAGTTATACATTTCAGGAAGCTTATAGTGAACATGTTCCATCTTAAGATACTTGTGAACGCTGGTTTAAATGCTTTAAAAGTGATGATTTTGATGTGAAAGACAAAGAATGTCCAGGTCAACCAAAAACAGTTTGAAGACCAACAATTACAAGCATTTTTGGATGAAGATGTGTGTCAAACTCAAAAACAACTTGCAGAAAGATTGAACATTGTTCAGCAAACAATTTTCGGTTGTTTACATGCAATGGGAAAGATTTTAAAAGAAGGAAAATGGATGCCACATCAACTGCACGAAAGACAAATGGAAAACCGAAAAGTCATCAGTAAAATATTGCTTCAATGGCATGAAAGAAAGTCTTTTTTGCATTAAATTGAGACGGGCAATGAAAAGTGGATTTAGCCGGGACCGGTTTGGCTCAATGGATAGAGCATCGGCTTGGGGACTGAAGGTACCCGGGTTCGATTCTGGTCTAGGGCATGTACCTTGGTTGCGGGCATATCCCCAGTAGGGGGTGTGCAAGAGGCAGCTGATCGATGACTCTCTCTCATTGATGTTTCTAACTCTCTATCTCTTTCTCTTCCTCTCTGTACAAAATCAATAAAATATATTAAAAAAAAAAAAGAAAAAGAAAAGAAAAGTGGATTTATTTTGAGAATCCCAAACTCATAAAATCATGGGTTGATCCAGGTCAACCATCAACATCAACTGAAAGGCCAAATCGCTTTGGAAAAAATACAGTGCTCTGCATTTGGCGAGATCAGGAAGGTGTGATGTATTATGCGCTTTTAAAACCAAATGAAACCATTCATACTAATTGCTACCGACAACAAATAATCAATTTGAACCACTCTTTGATGGTTAAATGACCAGAATGTGCCAGAAGACATGGCAAAGTAATTTTTCTTCATGATGACGCACCATCACCACTTCAAAACCAGTTAAAGACACATTAAAAGATCTTGCCTGGGAAGTATAATATTAACCCGCCCACTATATTCACCAGACGTTGCTCCTTCAGATTACCGCTGATGGATGGGACACACACTTTCTGAGCAGCACTTCAAAACGTCTGAAGAAGTGGAAAATTGGGTCTGTGAATAGTTTGCCTCAAAATAAGAAAAGTTCTATTGGGACGGTATCCACAAATTACTTGAAAGATGGGGGAAATGTGTAGCTAGCAATGGACATTATTTTGAATAAAGCACCTTTGATATTTCTTTTGAAATTATTGCGTTTTCTTTTATTACAAAATCCACATTATTAACCGATACATTCGTATGTGCTATTCATAAAAGATAAAAACAAAGACATTGGCCAAAAAGATAAGGAAAATATCAGGCAAATGGTAACCAAAAAGAAAATAAATACTATGATATTAATATAAACCAGTAAAACAGAAAAGAAAACACAAATAGACCCCCTAATATATAAAATTTTGTATGTGACAGAAAGGGATCTATTAATCAATTAGAAAAGAAAGGACTATTGAGTAAATAGCCCTGATAAAATTAGGTAGCTATTTGGAGAGGAAATGGGAATCAAAGCTCAACCCCACATCATATATAATAAATTCTAGATTGACTGAAATACATGAATGTGGAATGCCATTTTTATAGTTTCCATCTAGGAAGGAATTCTTGCAGAATTCGTACGAAGTACAACACATTTTGAAAAGAGAGAATTTCAATAGAAGAGTGGTACAAAGAAGCCTTCCATTCTATTGATAATATATTACTTGATTTAAAATTTTTTTGAAGCTGTTATGGCAAAACATTGTTAAATCTGGATAGCTGAGTACAGTGAAGTTTGTTAGATGTGCATGCAGGGTGAGTTAATCATCTAATAATTTTGATAGAATATCATCATTCTTTTCATGCTTCCCTCTCTGCTTTACATATTTGCATAACTTCTTATAAAAATGCTTTAATACCAGCATTATTATGAAAATAATATTGATTTTAATATATAGTATGATTAATCTTATGAGACATTACTAAGTCATGTGGGACAGGAGAACGTGGCAAATGCTGTGCTTTCCTTGGCCCCAGCCACTGATTGTCTATAGCACTCCCCTAACCATGTAACAATGAAATGCTTACACCTATTTCTGAAAAATGACTCTGCATGTATTTCCAAACACCCTGTAGGGAATGGTTCTGTCTCACTATTGAGAATTCTAGAATAAACAAAGAGAAACGAAGGGACAGAGTGTATATCTTAAGTTGGAGAAAATTCTCTCCTCTGTAACTATTCTCTTGTCAGAGAGAATGGCAAATGAATGGTAGTTAAAAATGAACATTAAATTGTAATAGGAAGACTGTTTTTGAAATCTTTCATCCTGATTTTTGTTTGTTTTATTGAGTTTTATTGTCCTGTTTCTTATCAGTAGATAATTTGAAAATATTAAAACAATTTTTAAATTGAATTTTGAAAACAGACTTGATGTTAATTTTTGGAGGGGTTTGATATTTTAAATATAAGAAACTGTTGACAGTTAATAGTGTAAGGGGTGTGATGAAATGGTGAACTTTTCTAACAAGGTTCTTATTCTTGTAATCACTTATTTTTAGTTGCATTTTATTAATTTATATGTGCTATGTTTCCTTTTTCCCCCCCTGGAATTATTGACTTCATTGTTTTACATTTAAAATAATTGTTTAGGGGACTTTTCTCTACTTCTAACAATACAAATGATTCATTAAGGGAAGAGGTAATATGATCCCAAACTGAGTTTCCTGCTCAATAACTAATCCTCTCAAAGTAAGCCTTCATTAGTCTTCCGTCATTGAAATGCAGGCTCCCATGCAGGAAAGATGGTAATTTCTGGCTTCTTTCCATTTCACAGAGCTCTGAGTGCTGAGCACTGCTGAAGCCTGAATAGTTAGGGATATTGTGCACTGATGTGATGCTTAGATTTTATATGTCATGGTAGTTATGTGATTTACATATAAATAGGGTGAATAATCTATATTTGGCAAGGTTGAGGCCAGGGTGATTTTTATCATTTTTGTCTTGGTATATGATTCTGCCTCTGGAAATATACCAGGCCTTTGAGATGAGAACAGGAAAGTATGCTTC